GGGCAAGAAACAAGGGCGGTGCGCCGTAAGAGCCGTAAGAGGGGTGGGCGAGGCGAGGAGAGAAGGGAAAGGTAAAGCGAAGCGAGGGCCGGCAGGCACGGAGGGAGAACGGAAAACGCTGGGGGACGCACGCGGTAGTGGGGGTCAGGAGACTGCGTCTGGTGAGGGAGAGTGCATATGGAGACGGTGTTGGGTGATGGGAATGCAGAGTTGGGACGGGCCTTTGACGGGCGGTGGGAGCGGCCGCCTGCGTTGGACGGCGGGCGTCGGGGCGTTTGCGAGGCCAACACGGCAATCGCACCAAGCGACGCGGGCGAGTCACCTGAACGTTCCCGACGGGTGTGCATGCTTCCCGCCTCGGCTCCAGACGGTCTGTCTCGCTCAGACTCGCTCAGACCCCAGCCAGCTGCCTCTGCCAGCCACGGCGGGGCTGTCTCGCTGCTGCCGCGCCGGTTCGCAGGCGGCAGACGCAGAATTCAAGAAAGCGGGCAGAGGCGATCGTCGACTGCACAGAGCGAACAATCGCGACGCGTTACGTCACCGGTCACTTGACACCGTCATGCGCGTGTAGACGCCCATAACGTTAGGCGTTCCAATCCGCCATCGACCAGAAACACCCTCAGAGGGCCTCTGCCGCCTCCTCCTCTCGCCCGCTGCACGTACGGCCCATCACCTCCCCGTTTCACAGAAGCCGTCCGTGCTCGACCGAGCCCTATAAAGCGCCTCCAATGCCCCCTCCTCCGAGTTTCCTCCGAGCCCACTTGCCCTCTGAGCTCTCCCCCCACAGGACGTCGACCCCGCCATGGTCGTCCTCAGCCCCAGGCTCTCCGCTCTCTGCAGCCTCCTCGTCCTCGCCGTATCCTCCCATGCCCAGGACTCCTCCGCCATCGCGTCCTCGGCCCCCGCGTCGTCCGCTGTGCTCCCCTCGAACGCCCTCTCTTCGGTCGCGAGCAGCGTCTCCTCCATCGTGAGCAGCGTCGCGTCCTCCGCGTCAGTCTCCCTCTCCACGGTCGCGAGCAGCGCCGCGTCCACCCCCATATCATCTACCGCGTCTGCTCCTGCGTCCGGCTCCATTTCGGCTAGCGCGTCCGCCTCGGGGTCCGCATCCGCCCCGCTTTCCAGCGGTATCTCCTCCGAGTCCGCCACCTTCAGCAGCGCCGTCTTTTCTTCGGCAGCCATCTCGGCGTCCTCTGCCGCCTCCGCGTCCGTTTCGGCTACCACCAGCGCGGGTGGCCCTCCCATCGAGACTAGTGAGTCTTTTCCCGAACTGCATCCGACTTTTCTCTCTTTCTTTTCGCCTCTCTGTATGCCGCGTTCTCTCCGCTCGGGACGTGCAACAGATTTAGTGCGCGTTTGCCGCTAAATTAAGCGTGCCATGACGCTAGTATGTCAATGCAGACGTGCTATTTGGGTGAAGTTGCAGTTCTATCTCCGCTACCTTGATGCAGTGCTCGTATCCGCGAGAAGATTGGCCTACGTCATAGCACCCACGACGGGCATGTCCTCCATTTCTGTGGCCGAGAAACCTCAGAGAAGGCGGGACCGCCGGCTTGGAAAGCCTGAGGAAATGTACATATACAACCCTTTTCTGGAACATAGCCTGCGTATCCGTGCAGGGTACTCGTTCAAGCTACCCGGACTCGTTTTAGCGCAATGGACTAACGCAACGCACACAGCGCAATTCACCTTGCCAATCTCCTCATACCCCTTCTCCTCTTTCCCGGTGCCTTCAGCGTCCCCCATACCCGGCGTGTACCCCTCCACGTCCCCCAAGACCCCCCCTCCGCCGGGCTCGCGCCTCATACCCGACTTCGGCCCCGCTTGGGCGCGCGCCCACGCCCGCGCCAAGCAGCTCATCTCCGGCTGGTCGCTCGACCAAAAAGTCGCGACGACGACCGGCGTCGGCTGGATGGGCGGCCTCTGCGTCGGGAACATCCCCGCCGTCGCGGACTGGCCGGGGCTCTGCCTCGAGGACTCGCCGCTCGGCGTGCGCGACACGGACTTTGTCACGGCGTTCCCGGCGGGGATCACCGCGGCGTCGACGTGGCAGCGCGCGCTCATCCGCGCGCGCGGGCTCGCGATGGGCCAGGAGTTCAAGGGCAAGGGCGCGCACGTCGCGCTCGGCCCGATGATGAACATGGGCCGCATCGCGCAGGGCGGGCGCAATTGGGAGGGCTTCGGCGCGGACCCGTATTTGTCGGGCGAGGCCGCGTACGAGACGATTCTGGGCATGCAGCAGGGCGGCGTGCAGGCGTGCGCGAAGCATTATATCAACAAGTGAGTCGGGCGTGTTCGGGTGAGGGGATATGGTGACTGATGTTTGGAGAACAGCGAGCAAGAGCATCGCCGCACGCAGGAGTCGTCCAACGTGGACGACCGTACAGAGCACGAGATCTACTTGCATCCCTTCATGCGTTCCGTGCAGGCCGGTGTGGCGAGCGTCATGTGCAGCTACAGTGAGTTTCGATTTGTGAACTGCGAGGATGTTCGCTGAAGCACGAGTGCAGACCAGATCAACGAGACGTTCGCTTGCGAGCAGGACCGTACTCTGAACCAGCTCCTCAAGGGCGAGCAGGGCTTCCAGGGATACGTCATGTCGGACTGGGGCGCACACCACTCCACGCTCGCCGCCGTTGCCGGACTCGACGTGAGCCCGTTTCCTCTGTTCATGCTATGCGATCTAGGCGCTGAGAAACCGCGATTAGATGTCCATGCCGGGCGACATCTCCTTCCAGTCGCACACGTCCTGGTGGGGCGCGAACCTGACCGCGTTCGTCGAGAACGGCACGATCGCGGAGAGCCGCGTCGACGACATGGCCGAGCGCATCATCGCCGCGTGGTACCTCCTCGACCAGGACCAGAACTACCCCGAAGGTGCGCTTCCGCCTCGTGTCTTGTACGGCGGCGATGGTAACTGAGGGCGCTGTTTAGTGAGCTTCAACGCGTTCTTCCCGAACGACCCGCAGACGAACAAGCACGTCGACGTGCAAGCGGACCACTACAAGGTCGTGCGCGAGATCGGCGCGGCCGGCACCGTTCTGCTCAAGAACGTCGGTGATGCGCTGCCTCTCAGGAAGCCGCGCAGCATCGCTATCATCGGTGCGCCTCCCCACCGCTTCGATTTGCGTTGTGACGCTGACCTTGTTTGAAGGCAACGACTCGGGCCCGAGCCTGCGCGGCCCGAACGGCTACCCCGACCGCGGCGGCGACGACGGCACGCTCGCGATGGGCTGGGGCTCCGGCACCGCGCAGTTCCCGTACCTCATCTCCCCGCTCGAGGCGATCCAGGCGCGCGCGCGGCACGACTCGTCCGGGTCGCAGGTGTCGTGGTTCCTCAACAACTGGGACCTCGCGGGCGCCGCGGCGACGGCGCTCGACCAGGACGTCGCGCTCGTGTTCGTGAACGCGCAGTCGGGCGAGGGGTACATCACCGTCGACGGCAACGAGGGCGACCGCAAGAACCTCACGCTGTGGATCAACGCCGACGCGCTCGTCGAGGCCGTCGCGGGCGCGAACCCGAACACGGTCGTCGTCGTGCACTCGGTCGGGCCCGCGATCGTCGAGCCGTGGATCGAGAACCCGAACGTGACCGCCGTGCTGTGGGCGAACCTCCCCGGGCAGGAGTCGGGCAACGCGATCGTCGACGTGCTGTACGGCGACGTGAACCCGTCCGGCCGTCTCCCGTACACGATCGCGAGGCGGCCCGAGGACTACGGCACCCACCTCGTCACCGGCGGCACCGGCGACGAGATCCTGCGCATCGACTACACCGAGGCGCTCAACATCGACTACCGCCACTTTGACACCGTAAGCCCTTCCCCCCTCCCTCCCTCCCTCCCTCCCTTTCCTCTGTATCCTCTACTCCCCGGCGTGCCGCTGACGACGCTCACCTTGTAGAACAACATCGCGCCCCGCTTCGAGTTCGGCTTCGGGCTCTCCTACACCACCTTCTCCTACTCCAACCTGCACATCCAGCCGCTCGACTCGACCCCCTCCCCCTCCGCCGCCCTCGAAGCCGCCTGGGCCGCCGGCCACGCCTCGCCCGCCGTCCCGGGCGGGTCCACCGCGCTCTGGCTGCACCGCCCCGCGTTCGAGGTCTCGTTCACGGTGCGCAACGCCGGCCGCGTCGCCGGCACGGAGATCGCGCAGCTGTACCTGCACTTCCCCGCCGGCGCCGGGGAGCCGCCGAGCGTGCTGAGGGGCTTCGCGGACGTGCGCGTGCGCGAGGGGGAGAGCGAGCGCGTGGTGCTGACGCTGTCGCGGTACGATCTGAGCGTGTGGGACGCCGCGGCGCAGGGGTGGAGGAAGCCGCGGGGCGCGTTTGGGGTGTCGGTGGGGACGAGCAGTAGGGATTTTAGGCTGAAGGGGGTCGTGCCGGTTTGATGATATGCGGGTGTGTGGGTGTGGATGCTACGGATCGAAAACGCGGGAGAGAGGGGGAGGAGGCGAGGCAGGATCGGATCTATCGCTGTGGAGGGGGCGGGGGTGGACGGTCGAGATCTAATTAGCTGGAGAAGAATTGGCTGGCGCGTGCGCGTGCGTGCTTGTTGTGTATCTTTACGTGCCCGCTCAACCTCGTATCGGTTCGGGCGGCGTTACGACGATGAATCCATAACGTTTCTATTCGATTCGCAAAGTCGCTCGGTAGTGGGTGTACATGTGTGTTACGTTCGTAGTAGTAAACACGTCGTGCTCAGAGACTGCTAGTCGCTCTGAATCCGCCCGAGGGGGAGACCGCGACCCTATTTTGCGCTGAGAGCTTTGCGACCTCGAGTCGAAGCGCAGTGTGAGGTCGGGAGTACTGAGTCTTCGGGCGTGATGGGCACAGTGTGGCTGGGCGCACACTGGAAGCCTAAGGGGAGCATAGTAGATGCTGAAGCTTGAAGCTTTGAAGTTCAAGTCGTGCGGGGCTTGCCAAAGGATCCAGCTGCAAAGTTGCAAGTTGCTGGTCATCTAGAGCCAGCTGTGCCCAACAAAAACGACTACGATGCCGATTCATGTACACTGAGCGGGAGTCGAACCCGCGCCGCTTGCTGATCCGGCTCGCTTGAGCTCAGACAAGAGACTCGTGGAAGGCAAGCATGATACCGTTTCACCATCAGTGTGTTGCCTACGGCGAACCGGGTGGTAATACGAACACGTTTTTGGGACGGAGTTCGATGGTAAAGCTACCGACCTCCACCGATTGACAACGTTGGTCAGAATTAGATGCGCCAAGTGTCATCGTTGCTACTAGTGCTTCTCGATCCGTGCAAGAACCCAAGAAGAAATCGCGGTATATAGTGAAAGCATGCGTACGCCCCTATCCTCCCTTCGCATCTCAATATGGCCGGGGCCACCGCATCGCCCTCGTCTGAAGAACTCTCCACCCTTTCAGACGGCGCGAGGCCTAAATCTGCCTTTTGTCGGCATGGAGGCTGTCAGAATCCTATCACTACATACCCCTTTGCAAGACCACGAGTTCGCGCCCATTCTTCTTATCATGCCTAGCCAGAGACGGTGCGCCGGCCATAACGGTTTCGTGAGAGTCGTAAGGAGTCCGAGTCGCGCGTTCATGCCGTGACGATGTTGACCGCATTCATGTGCGTGACGAGGTCCTGGATGCGCGCGGAGCGTGGGCGGATGGAGCACGTAAACGCCTTCGGGTGGCTATACGGACCCCAGTCGACACCACAGTTGACAGAAGGAATGAGCGCACGAACGGATGGTAGCCCCGGAACCGTCGGTCTCCGGAGGCGGGCGGGGGCTTACCTGACAAACCCCGAGATGAAGGCGGCGTCCGGAACGATGTCCCGGCCTAGGTGGTCCTGCGCGTAGCCGAGGTCCATGGTCGCGAGGATGTTCGCTGCGGCGAGCCAGAGGCTGGCCTCTGCGAACGCCTGCCCTGGACAGATGCTGAAACGGTCACGTCAGACCAGGGCACGCGGAGGGTAGCTAGTGCGCAGATAGACATGGACGTGGACGTACCGACGACCGAAGCCGAAGACGACGTCCCTGGGGTCGGACTTCTCCCCCTGGTCCAGGTACCGCTCAGGGTTAAACTTCTCCGGCTCGGGGTAGACGTCCGGGTCCTGCGTCATCCACCTGCCCGGCGCGTCAGACGATCAGATGAATAGGAGCATGACGGGAGTGACGAGAGCGATCAGGGACGCACCAGATGTTCGGAATGACCATAGCCCCGTTCGGGATGTGGTACCCACGATAGACGTCGTCGGCCTGCACCGCGTGCGGCACGCCTGCGTGAACATACGGACGTTAGCGTGCATATCACCACCGCGCGGGAAATAGCGGACCGAGCGGCACGGGCGCGTTCCATCTGCGAGCCACGGCCCAAAGTTAGCATACCGGCCACAGAGGGAGCAGTGGGGGAGAGGGGACCACACCGGAGAACCTCTCGCAGCACGCAGCGCAGATACGGCAGACTGTCTTGGTCTTCGATGTCGGGGAGCCGGTCAGGCCCGATGACCCGGTCGATCTCCGCCTGCGCCTTTTGGCAGACATCCGGATGCAGAACCATCGCTAGGATAAATGTCTTCATCGCAGTTACGGTCTGAAAGACCCCGTCAGGTGTGCGTACAGTCTCGACGAGGCGAGGAACCTTACTGTCTCTGTTCCGGCTGCACTTGCCGGTCAGTGACGTCGTTGAGAAGGTCACACAATACACGGACCAGTGTAGATAACTCCAGCGGCCCCCTTAATGTCCTCCTCGTGTTCCGTGGTAAGGCTCCCTTCGGCCGCGGCCTCGTCTAGAAGCGTTGCGGTGAACGAAGGCGCCGCCGTGCCCGCACGCTGAGCGCCGCAATAAGCGCATGCGCAGGGAAGACTGCGGGGAGTGACGTACCAACGCGCGTTTCACCATGTCGAACGGCGTGTCCAGAGTGCGCCGGATGAGCTCCCGTACGTAAAACGCGCGGTGCTTGAAGCCTGAGCCCGGCGCCCACAACGGGAGGCCCTTCACTACGGACTGCGCGTGAGGTGAGGCATGGCAGGAGGGAGGAGATAGACAAACAGATGGGGAAGAAATCGACGAGCATGGAGCCTGGGCTGCCGGCCTTGACCGTCTCGACCGCTGCCTCCTCGGCGAGAGCGATGAACGGATCGTCATTCGACTTCACCCGGTGGCCGTAGGTAATTTCCATGATCGTGGCGGCCGCCCATCTATGGAAATCAGGGGTGAGGGTGGAGATAGCCGGATGGTGGTATCTGCGCATACCGTGTGAGGTGCTCCATGAAATGCTCAGGGGTCTCGCAAAGGTTGGCTAGGAGAGTGTACGTCTCCCGCCGTTGGATCGGTACGTACGCCGCAAGAACTTCTTTGGGGCCGAACGCGTCGTGTAACCACTTGCGGTGCTTCCGGAAACGCTCGCCGTATGGTATGTTGTTGAGGACGCTGTCCCAGCCCATACTACAAGACGTCAGCCCACGGCCTAGGGATAATCGCGCAACTCACAGTTCAGCCAGGAGAATAAATCGCGGTCTGCTAGAATAGTTCCTGCTCCGCTTCTCTAGCAACTCTGCTGCTGCCTCCCGTGAGTTCAGGATCAGAGCAGGGGTACGAAAGAAGCGCGCGAAGACCACCTCGCCTGCGATGAAAGTGATCTCGCGGTCAGAAATGAATGTACTTCATATGAGCACGTAGTACCATATTTCCTCCCCCATTCTGCAAATTTCCTCTGCTGATAATCAACGGGAAGTTGATGGACATTGCCCAATAACGGGACCGCCGATGGACCGGGGGGATAAGGGCGCCTATCTTGCTGCAACCAACGGGTGCAAACCGCTCGGAAAACAAACACGACGAGCACGAAGGCGGAGAGCACTGAAGCGCTAGTGAGCGAGGGTGAGTGGAAAGACATGGAGGGCAGTTAGGGAGAGTTAGGAAGCCTTCTGTGGACACAGTACTTATATATATTTGGCCGTCACACATACCTTCAATCTCAGTAGAGGCGGGGATTCTTGGCAAGACGGAAACGAGTGGCAGTTGTCGGAGAAAGCTACGGTCTGAGTTCCTATGGCTTCGAATCCGCCGGGCGCATGCCAGGTGTCGCAATAGGCGCTTGCATTGGAACGCCGGCTACTATCGCCATTAAGTCGGTGTGGACAGTGGGATCAGTGCGAGCGCTGAGTAGGATTGAAGTGGAGAAAGTACGCTTACGAATTGAGTTTGAATATCAATAACTCTCGTGGGGTTTCCCGAGTGGATTAGGGGCGCCGGAGACTTTAACCGTAGCTTGTCTTGAGGCTCCGTCCGAAACGGAGGCTGAGAACCGCTTCCCATGTGACGGCGCATGCCACCGGGCTCGGCGTTGCGATGCAATTTCCTCTCGCGCAGATATTCCCGGAGCATGTCCGCCTGCGATTGTGGGATGGAACACCCGTACGAAGCCTCGGAAGGCGCAACTCTTGCTCCCTTGGGACTCTATGTCAATCACGAAACGCTCATCCTGAGCAAAGAATACTAGACTCACCTGATGTTGATCCCTCCGGGTGTCAGGGTGAGTACATACTCCACGCCCACACGTAGCCCGCGCTCGGGGTGGGCATGGATTGGGTAACGGTACAGCAGAGGCCGGACGCGTATGTACAACGGCCATGAAAGGGGGTACGTTGCTACCGGCACATTCCTTCAGCACATCATTCTAGGATGGGGCTGTCGCTATACGCACCGTCAGCGGAGCGGCACCTTACGAATAGGGACCGAGCAGTGACGCAATCTTCGGAAGTGGAGCCGTTGTACGGTCTAGTGTCGGAACTGCAATGAATTATTACTAATGAAGTACCTTGGGGACGTTTTCAAAGAACCGGGTAAATGAGATAGGATTCACAAGGCTTGAAGACATCAACGCACATATTCCACTACACTTTTCGTGCTGGCCTTTCCGAGTCGCCGATGCGATGCCGGAAGCAATTGGCTCGCCGTCAGGTAATTTGAGCAACGCACTTTAGATACATGCCACATACTGAATGTATGAATTTTTAGCAGTGTTCAAGATACAATGCGAGACACCAGGGCCGTTAACGTCCTCGAGCGGTCGCAGATCAATCTTCTGACCGAGGGGCCTTGCCTCGTCGGAAGAAACGTAGCATGCTGGTACAACCCCGAGGCGCCAGTTCTCCAAGAAACCAGAAACAAACCGTTTAGATTAGAGACGAGCCTGGTGAGACTACCAAGTTACAGCGCTTGCAGATGACGGACGTTGAACAAAGAGGAGGAATGGGATGCGATCCAATATAGGCGCCCAATTATTGATCCGCCACCTTCGGCAACACCCGGGCTCTTTCGCTTGCACGTCTGGCCACTCGAGCTCAAGCTCAAGCTTTACCAGCCCTATCCCCAAACTTGCTAACGGCAAGTGCTTGGTTAAGCCCCTATCAGTAATCCTCAAGAAGAAGTCATAAAAGCGCGTAATACGTATAAACAGCCCCACGCCCACAGGATTTTCGACCTGAGTCGCTCTCGCCTTGAAAGAGACGTCTTGAACTTCTTTCTAGTACTTCGAAGCCGCTCCAACAGATCTGAATCTCACTTGAACGATCTGCACTTTCCAAGTGCTTGTATTTCTGTATGAAACTTAGCTAAGCTCACAATCAGGTCTTCAATGCTGACCACAATCAACCACAGATGCCTTTCATGGATACGGAAAGATCCTCAAGGCACGGAGCCATCACGCGTACCGCTTGCTGCGCCTTCAGTGGCGCGGCCCCTTTATAACCTACTCTGACAAGCGTGCACAAATGATAGTCCAATCCAGGTCCTGGAACTTCATGGATTTTCTGTACCCACAGGGCCGCCGATGTTGAGCGGCGTGTCTGCTCTGGACGAGCCTCGACTGACCAGGTGAGTGTATTTAACCCCGAATCTGGCATGAGGCCGCCATGCTAATTCACGAAATCTACTTCCCCCCTACATAGGTCAATATTGTCGGCGATGTTACAAGGTTCGACAAATCTCAAGCTTAGTCCCTTCGCTATCCGTCCTCGGAATCCCGTTTCTCTACCCTTTCGCTTATGTTTACCGCGCGCCTAATATCGTTTGATAGACAGGGACAGCAAGTATTACGCGTAGTATAAATGTGTAGTAAGTTGTACGAATGCCACTATATTT